GTCCTGGGTGTTCATTGGAAGGACTGATGTTGAAGCTGAAACTCCAATACTTTTGCCACCTGATGCAAAGAGCTGACTCACTGGAAAAGACCCTGATGCTGGGAGGGATTGAGGGCAGGTGAAGGGGACGACAGAGGATCAGATGGCTGGATGGCATCACCAAGTCGATGGATATGAGTTTGAGTAAACTCTGGGAGTTTGTGATGGACAGGGAGGCCTGGCTTGCTGTGATTCATGGGGTCGCAAAGAGTCGGACATGACTGAGTGACTGAATTGAAGGGAACTGAACTGAATCTTAACTTTTCTAATCATCAAAGTAAAAGGAGAATGAGGTCAGGCAAAGATTTCTTAAATAGAACACAAAAAGTACAAAATGTAAGGGAAAGAAACTGATGAATTTAAAAATGATATTAAATATTAAAATGAGCTGGGGTGGGGAGATGTTAAAATAAAGAACCTGTGTTTATCAAAAACAACTGTAAGAAAATGAGAGATGTTTGCAATGGGAGAAAGATTTGTAAGGCACAGAACCAACAAAGATTTGTATCCAGAATATGCATAAAACAAAAGCCAAAAACTCCCACTGTTCAATCAAGAAAAAGGCCCAACAGAAAAATGAGCAGATTTGAGTAAACATTTGACATAATAGGATCTATACACATATAGGATGGACGGAAAACATAAAAGGATGCTTGATTCCATTAGTCACCAGAGAAAAACAAATTAAAGCCAACCAGCTATAACACAAAAATAAAACAAACAAAAAAACCCAATGAGCTACCTCTTCACACCCACCAAAATGGCTAGAGTGAAAGAGTTGGCGACAACAAGTGCCAGCAAGGATGTGATGCAATAAGAACTCTTGTAAACTGATGATGATTCTTAGTTCCATAACTTTGGAAAACTCTTTGGCAGTATTTACTAAAGCTGAAGAGAAGAACATTCTAATACCCAGCAATTCTACTCCGAGATATGTATCAAACAGAAATGTGTCTGTATGTTCACCAAAAACACTGTCAAGAATGTTCACGGCCACAGAATCTGCATTAGTTCCCAAGATGGAAACAACCCAAACATCTGTCAAGGCAGAACAGATAAATTATGGTCTATTAGAACAATGGGACACTATTAGATCTCATTAATATGAAGTTCAAAATGATTAAGAGAAAACTATAGTGTTGGGAGTCAGGTTAAAAACAGCCAAGGAGGATGAGCAGAAAAAAAATGACTTTAGAGCTACAGCCTCTGAGCTCAGCTTGGCCACCAGCATTGCTGTGTGTCCCAGCCAAGCAGTCACCCTCTGTGATTCCTTTTCACAGCTGGACAAATGGGGTGGACCACACCATGACTCTCACTGTGATGCCTTCTAGATGGACAGAAGGCATGCTTTACAAATGACAAAGTGCTCTGACATCTGTGATCCTGAGGCTCACAACTGCCCCGGGAGGCAAGTATGACAGAACTTTCTCTATTTTTTCCCACCTTTCCCCTTCTTTTTCTCTTTTGAGTAGATGGGTTTATTATTCATAAGTCTGGCAATAATTAGTAGTAAGCATTAAGGGAGGCCAAGTCAAGATGCAGACAGACTACAGTTGATTTTCAATGTTGTGTTAGTTTCAGGCATATAGTAAACTAATCAGTTATACATATATACTCTCTTAGATGCTTTTCCCATATAGATTGGACTTTCCCAATGGCTCAGTGGGGAATAATCAACCTGTAATGCAGGAGACACAGGAGCCATAGGTTCAATCCCTGTGTCGGGAAGATCCCTTGGAGGAGGAAATGACAACCCACTCAAGTATTCTTGCCTGGAAAATCCCATAGTCTGAGGATCCTGGTGGGCTACAGTCCAAAGAGGTCACAAA